TAAAAAATGTTTCGCTTGTGCTCTCTCATCATGATGACAGTCTCAACAATCGTCACGATGACCACTGCCATGATGTTCTCTTCTTTATCATTCGGTGCTCCGAATATACCGTCAATTTATTGGAGAACATCTCCTCTTTCACCACCATTCTCTTCTCGGAATGATGTTTTGAGTTTAGTGCCACCTGGATTTCAACAACAACAACAACAACGAATTTTAGTGGAATTTGATTTATTTGTGGATTTATTATGTAGTGATAGCGCAGCTTGGTGGACGAGTGTTTTCTCACAATTGGATTCGTATTACTTTTCGAATGCCACAAGTTCAGCACCAATCCGATTCAATTTGTACTTGTTGCCACTGCCTTATCATACTGCCTCCTATTTAGGTTCAATGACCTATGTGGGTGTGAATCGATACACCAATTATGATCAACGTGTGTTGAAACAAATTGTGAATTCTTTTTTCACCAATCAAACACCCTTGTACAATAATATTGTGAATGCCATGACTCAACCACAAATAATGAATTTAATTTATTCCAATAATATCAAGAGTTTGAATATCATTCCTCAGCAAGCATATTTGAAATTGATGAATGATCCTTCTATCGACATGAGAACAAGAACTTTATTCAAATTGTCGACTGCGACGGGCGTGTTTGCAACTCCAAGTTTTTATGTGAACAAGGTTCCAGTACAGAATGGAGAAGATTTCAGCGTCCAAGATTGGATTTCGTACTTCAATCAAATTTTGAGTAGCAGTTATTAATACAGTGTGTTTGATTATGGCTATAGTTCTGTTGTTGTTGATTGAACTTATTTCATGAATACCACCAGTGATACAATTTTCCAATAATTCATTATTGGAAACACGCGAACAACTATTCGCTTCAATTCACTCTTGTTTTTCTATTAGCAACATGGAAAAAGTATCTCTTTCAGTATTTGGTCTCAAAAGAATTGAGAGAGGACGGTCCAGAGATTATTCACACTCAATTCAAGCACAAATATATACGTTTACAATAGCTTCTACTTTAAATGAAAGTCTATCAAAATCCAAATCAAGCAACTTGTAGGAGCGCGTTTCAACGAGTTATGAAAACTAACATTAAAAAAAATGGCCTCAATATGATTCATGTGGTTAATAAGGATTTGACTCTCGGGCAGCAAGTACCTGCTTGCAAGGTATCAAGTTTATCGGAGCTTAAAAACAGCTCAACCCTAAGTATAGGGAGAAATCTTACGTCGAGTTGGTGATCGTGTGATAAGGTTACCGTAAAAGCTAAGCGGGTCCGCTTTAATTTGGAATGAGTGAATGTGTTGGTCTTTTGAATGCCTGCGAAGAGCATCATCATGAAGCGCATATTTTGTGAAACGTCATGCTAGATGGTGTATTCTTCCACATAGAAAGCAATTGCCTACTTGCAATCAAGCGACGCCTCAATCTACAAGCATAGCAAAAGAAATCAAGCCCGCATTCATCATTGCCTGAACTTTTCAACCTGGTTCTCGAGAAACTTGAGAGCCATCTGAGAGAGGGTTTGAGTGGTACAAAGTGAGATATCTGTCAACAATTTTCCATTGAGAGAGAGATCTCGCCAAGAAACATGGCAGAACATCGTTGTGGCCAACCATGCCACAGAATATCAACCATACATGTATTTCAACTCACCAACCTTCTTTCATTCTCAATCAAACAATACTGCCAACTCAACACCTTAAATGTTGCGACCACAACCATGCTCAATCAACCACTCCATCAACCCCTGTCCTCTCCGTCAACAAGAGCCCGACATGAGCTCCCACCACCAACTGGAATTGAGTATCTTTTCAATCATGATGAAATCCCCTCGCTTATTTCTTGAGCGACCTTCAATAAAGTCTCATGAGAACTTGGAAACCAATATAACTCCATGTTTCGCGCAATGACGCTCGACAAGGATCATGAACAGCGAGAAGGCACTCATTGGGTTCAAATCAAAAACAACAACAACATCAACAGGCAAGAAGAAGAAATTGTCTTGACAAGTCTTTTCTCATGTCGAGCACTCCGTTCAACTTTCCATCCTTCACCACTTCCATCACCAACAACAACGAGGTGCCACAACATTTGGAAGGAGTTCGATCGACCTCTTCTTCTTCTTTGACGACGACGACGCAGCAGACTTTATCTTCTGTAATTGCCAACACCAACACCACCAATACGACAGGCAATCATGATCCGCCATCCCTTTCAACATTTAGTTCCTTCATCTTTCAAACGGAATCCTATGAAGAGCTCATTCGGGAAGGATTACTGACTTTTCCTTCGTTATCATCATCATCCTCCTCCTCATCATCACCACCGTGGTTTAACCACACTTCTTCTCCTCGTTCCTCCTCTACCTATTCTTCACCCTATTCTCCTGCGAGTGCAACCACAACAACATGTCGAATGACAGACTCTCCTTCCACACCACAGCTAGCTTCTTCATGGCATCATGCACAACAACAACAACACAATCAGGCAACAACAACAACAGCGCATCCCTTGGATGTCTCTCTCACAACCACCACCACATGCAATGCCATGAACCCACCACACAACACCGCCATGAATCTCAATAATTCCAATTATGGAGTGAGCACGTGTGTTGGTCATTCTGATCCACCAGGCAGGAATAATGATTCCGTCCCTATGACTCCATCCCTTCAACACAATCGATTGCTGAATCAGGAGATTACGAATTTTGTAACCAGTCAAACAAATCCACCAGCATCAGCAACATCATCATCATCGGGTATGGTCGGAAATGGAGATTTTAGTGGCAGGTCGTCGTATTCTTGTTCAAACCTCTTGCTCCTTACTGATGCTTCAACAACCCTTAATAATATTCAAAGTAATACCAACAACAACAACAATAATAACATCCCAATGAATCCTCTTCCAACACATCCAACTAAAAAGAAAAAGAAAAAGGCAAGACAACCATTGGGTCATCTGGCCACCGCACAAGCATATTCAACAAGTGCTCACCAGCAACAACCCTCTCCTCAACAACACAATCAGTTGTCGTCCTCTCCGCAACATTCCTTGACCTTTACGGATGAATATCAAAGTTTCTCACAGGGTGTCCATGAAACTCAAATGAAAGATCGAAAAAAGAGACTAAAATTTACCGAATTTAATCCTCACCAGGTGAGACGATAGAGGTTTGCCAATGTTGAGTCCTCATTATTTTGGACTAGATGATCGATTATTCCTTTAAAGTCTTTTAGGGAGTTACTTTTAAATTTCAACAAGGAATTGAATTTTTGTTATAGTAGTGTTGATTGAGAATGAATCATAAGGAATTCAACTTGGTCATTTACTCCTCCTTCTTTCTTCCACTCTTATTCACGACCACATTCAAAGTAATAGTTACAGGAACATTATAACGATCCAACACAATATTTGATTTTCCACTGTAATGCCACCCAAAGGAGCCATGGAGTTCTCCCTTCTGATGAGCCACATGTTCCCTATCATCCACCGTGAAACGCAATTCTCGAGCCAATCTCAAGAATTCACTCTTACTAATGCTCGTTTCTTGAGCTGTGGTGGTATCAGCGTGGGACATCTTTCGTTTCTTCGTTGAGGTACCACTGGGTCCATGAGCAGATTCTTCTTCCTCTTCGGCTGCTGCTCCTTCTTCTTCTTCTTCCTCTTCCTCCATGGCTTTTTTAGTCTTTCCTCGTTGAGTTCTTGCTTTTCTTGGAGCAGCACGTGTTCTTGTAGGTCCTGCTGCCTCTTCCTCTGCTGCCTCCTTCTCTTCACCTAGTTTTGGACTCGTCTTTCTGTGTCGAGTGGATTTCCTCATTGTTTGTGGAGAGGTGGTGGTGGCGGTGGACACTTCACCCTTGCTGTTGTTGTTGTACCAGCCTCGTTCGTGACCATCATTTCGAGTGAGTCTCCTTTATGGATATTCATGTAGTAATCAAAGAGATGATCAATAAGAATACTCTTCTTTCCTTCCGTTGATAAATTCAACTCTTGGCACATTTCCTTCAAGTTATCTAAGGTGAAACGTTCCATGCCTCGCCGTACAAAGTTTGGATAGTGGGAGATGAGACGAGCGAGCTTTCTGTACTTGGAGGTGAGACCCTCGACATTCTCTCCAAAGTATTTGCAATAGCTATTCAGAGTTTCCTCATCGACATCTTTCAAATGGTAGAAACTCTTATTGAGGTAATTGGCTCGGAGTGGATCATCAGTATTCTCATCACCACTCATGACAGTTACACTTGCCGTTGTGGTATGGGCAGGTTGGTGAGATGGTGCCATCATGGTTGTTGTTTCTACACGTTGTTTTGCCACCTCTTCGGTTCCACCTCCTGTAGCTGTGACTGGAGAGGTGGTTTCTTCGGTAATGATGGGTGGATGCTCTTCACTGGGCTCTCCTGTGCTTGTATTGGAGGTTACATCTTCAAAGGTCATTGCAGAAGGTTCTTGTGTCTTGCTCGTGTCTGCTGTTGTTGTTGTTGTTGCTGCTGTTGAGATTTGCTCAAAACGAACTTCTGAAACGTTTTGTGTGAGAATCTCCTCTGCTTGTGTGGTTGGAGGTTCAGTAGGTTCAGTAGGGTTCTTAGGTTCTGTCATGCTGGTTGAGGCGGCCTGTGCATTGGTGTCTCCTGTTGAGGCAGTTGTGGATGCAGATGGCAAGTTTTCCATGTTCTGCTGATCAGTGCCTTCTGCTAATAAGGTGTTGTTTGTTTTTACGGTTGTTGCTGGAGTGTTTGTTGTTGCTGGTTTCGACCATTGGTCACCGCTTGTTACCATGGGAGATGTGGACATTGTGTTCGCAAGGTGATGCAGCCAGCCACTTGTTGATCACAAGAGTGTGTCTCCTATTCGAGTGATCTAAAGTTTTGTGTCGAGCTCGTGTTTGCAATAAATTGATGGTGTTATTGATTAATCAATCGACAGGTAATTCGCCTAGTCTATTGCAATATGCGACAAATAAAAGGAGTGGAGAGACACTACTCGATAAAAGTTTTTTAAAGACAAAGATTAATCAATAACACCATCGACCGTCATGATACAGATGCAACAGCAGCGATTTAAACAGCAATCGCTTGCATGTAAAATGTGATTCGAGCATTTCCTCAAAAGTGCACTGTACAATCTTAAACAAACCTCCATGAAAATCGTGAAATAAACAAGAAAATTTCCAATGTTGGTAAAACATGTTGATATCCAAAAGTAGTGATTACCTAACTTTAATCAACTAAACTAATCTTCATATCCAAGTTACGAATTGTTTCCCAATAAATGTCAGGATTTGTTCTCTTCAAATATCTCATCATTCTCTTTCTTCTATTGACAATGACTTGCAATTTTCTTGCCGATGTATAATCCTTATGATTAGTCTTTAAATGTTCAGTGAGTGCCTTGATGCGTTCAGTTAAAACAGCAATTTGAACAGGAGCACTACCGGTGTCTCTAGGAGATTTTTGGAAACGTAAAACTTGGACTTGTTTTTTCTGCTTGTTGATTTCTGGTTTGGCTGCCGTGGTGAAACTGAAAATCTTCTTCACTTGTTCAATACTAGTCTCCGAAACTGGTAAAACAAATTTTGTAGCCTCTGAGTCCGAGCCAAGAGGACTCTCCAAAGGTGCTAAACCAGTTACCATAAAATCGTCTGACTTTATGCCACAACGGAACTCGACTGCCATCTTTTCGTCGTAGTCTCTTACTTTCCATTCGTGTCTCTTTTGCTTTGGAATTGTAAGGAATGGTGATTCAATGGCTGGATATTTAGATTTATCAAAGGCTTTCATTTTGGTATAGTCCCAAACAGGGTTGCCATGCCTGTCGAGTTTTGGTGGTTGCATGTATCTCTCTTTCAAATGAGATTTGGCAACAGGGAAGCTATCTTGGATGATGTTTGATGGTGGTAAGTTCTTTTCTTCTTCCTCTTCAAAATTATATTGCTGTTGTTGTGTTCGGATGGAACTCATACTAAATGTTTGCTTTTGATGCTGTTGATGATGAATACATGATGATGAGAAAGCTCCCTGACTCAAAAGACTTGTTGTTGTGGGTTTATGGGACAAAGCAACAAACTTTACGAGAGGCGAGCCCGACGATGGTTGCAACACTTTTCTCATTTTTTTTCGCGTTTACAAAAATTTTATTCTATTCAAACCTCAATGTTTCAAAATGTTCAATATGTTTGTTTTAATGCTTCTTTTTCAGAAATTGTCGATAATCAATTTGCTCCTTATTTACATTCTTGCTTGAGTTCCCCAACTCGGAAAAGTTTGATGTCTTTTTGAGATTTTCTCGAATTTTCTGATAGAGAATATCTGCAGAAATCCAATTCGATTGGTTGGTGACTATCTTATTGTTGCCGACCTTCATTGACAGAGGTCTGTCCTTATCTGTCTGATTTGTTTTGAGTTTTGTAGAATTTTCATGTTGTGTGGAAGGGTGATTACTACCCGAAGGAATGGATGAAAGAGAAGAGTGTTTTTGAAGAGGAGAGAGTGGTTCATGCTGTTGTGATTGAGCATGACATGAATTTGTGAATGAATTTTCAGAGCTCTCAGTTGCGATGGATACAATTCGTTCAGAAGAGTTTTTCAGTGATGAAGGCGATGATTGACAATCCACAATCTGATTGGAAGAAGCATCTTGTAATAAGCAGACATCGTGGTCATCTCCTACGTGACTTTGACTGGTTGATGAATTTGAAGAAGGCGAAGACGACAATAAATGTGAACCCGTAAGCGTTCCTCTCACAATATCCAATGAGGAGGTTGCCGACGAATTGTCTTGTGAATTGGAACGAGGCCTTCCAATATTCTTGGCTTCTTTTTGTTGAGCTGTTTCATAGGTTGGAGTATTGACATTATTGGCTGTCTTGTATGTGGTCGTTCTCAGAGTGGTTTCAATATCAAAGTCATCTGCTGGAGGTGAGCTATGAATGGGTGTCGTGTTGCTCGTTAACGTATTAAGAGGATCATGTTGAAAGTTCGTAGTGGTCGAGCATGCTGATGAGGAAGATGGTGTGGATGAGCATGACGAGCATGCTGATGAGTGATGGGAGGTAGCAACAACTGATTGTTGTTGTTGTTCGAGTAGTGAGGATGGTAAATGTGCATGATGAATGTTACTGATGGATCTTCGATGACGGGTGGGTCTGTGAGGTGAGAGTGCAATGGAATCAATCAATTGTTGATTGAACTCTGTGTTGGATAGGAGTGGAGGTGAATCCTTTGTGTTGTTGTTGTTGTTGTTGGGATTTGTGTTGTTGTGAGAAGAGTCTGTGATGTCCTCTCTCTTGCTCGTACAAGTATCAGTATTGGTAGTAGTCGTATTCGTAGCAGTATTCATAGTATTCGTGGTGGTGGTAGTAGTAGCAGCAGTCTGAGTACTAGTATTACTAGTGGTAATGGCAGACTTCACCTTTTTGTCATCATCCAACAATTCCACCTGAGATTCAAGTCGATTGTATCGGTCTCTCCATTCCAATTCGAGTGCTTCAATTTTCTGATGAAGACTATTCCTCAAATGTTCCAACTCTTGATTTTTGAGAGTTAAATCTCGTTCTCGTCTCGTATTCAATTCACTGATAATCGTTTCGAGTGTTTGAATTTTTGAATTGGTAGCCATTTCATACTCCTCGAATAAATCCTTGTGTTGTGTAATGTATTGAGAGAGTCTTTGTTCGGTTTCAATGTCCTTATTGTGGTAAAAGGCAAGTTCTTCTTTTGCTTCTGCTAGCTTACTCTCTAAATTTACTTTTTGTTTCGTGAGTGTTTTGATCTTTTCTTGAACATTATTCAATTTTTCTTTCCATGCTTGTACCAAATTGGATTGTTTTTCCAAAAGTTCTGCTTTGGCTTGAGCGAGTTCACTTGCATCAATGAATTCAATTTGTTCAATTTTAATCTCAGTTGTTCCAGCAGGTTTGATGAGATGACTACCACCTCGTGGTGTTCGAGGTGAGGATCGAGTTCGAGGTGTCATTGATCCCTGATTGGTAGGAGTGGACGCATGGTTGGATGAGGGTGTTAATCCACCACCACAACCACCACCACCTCGAGGTGAAATGGAATCTTGTGTATTGAAACTACTTGAACTAATATTCATCAAATTGAGAAGAGGAATTGAGTTGGAGCTACTGTTATTCAATTTGTCTTGTGAGGATGCAGCTGATGTTGGCTTTGGTACTACTGAAGACGACACATTCGGTGAATGGAGCACTTCTGCACCAGAATCTTCTTGAAAATAATCTCCACCACCTCCTCTCGGATCAAAAGAATACTTGCAATTAGATCTGAATTGCTTAATCGATTGAACCGCATTATTGGTATCCACAATAATTTCAAATCCATGATGTAATGTACCTCTATTCCAGCAATATCCTACTGTTATGATTAATCCAGTTGTGACATTATTAGTGACAATCTTTTTAAAACAAACTCCTCGTCCATGTAAGACACCATTTAGAAATTCTCCACTGATTTCTTCGAGCAGTGGATCTCGTTTATCTTGAAAATAATAGCCTCGACCTGTCATGTGATCTTGAACGAATGACCCTTCCTATTGAATGTTGTAGAGTTTACAAAGAGTCATGAATGAACCGAAAATAGAAAAATGAGATTTGGTAACATGATTCGGACAAAAATGGATGATGATGGAGATATATATGTATAAAGTACATTAGAAAACATCCAAGCACACACACACATATTGATGAATATTTGACACAATTATCACAACTAATAACGTACATAGAGTCTATTATCGGGCCATTGATATTTTCCATGTCCATGCATTAAATCATCTTTAAATTGTCCTTCCTTTAAACCGACATGTCAGCAAGTGACACGTGGAATTATCGAGTGAGTATACATCACCCACAACATCCGAATCATACAGTTCGATTCGAACGAAATGTTTTTGGGTATTAATTCAAAATGACATGCCATCACCAAGCAACCTACATAAATTCTGTTATCGGGCCATTGATGAATACCCATTCCGTGTCTCTTATTGTTATTCCACTCTCCATTATACTCCTCTCCGTTTTTGTATTTCTTTTGTTTGTATCCCATTTGAAAATTCGATTTTGTTGGTTGATAGAATTCTGGTTTGATGTTCTTGCGACAGTGATCTCTTGTTGTTGTCACTCGTGAGTGTGAAGTGAATGAAGAAGATTCTGGACACAGCTGAGTGATGTTATTGCTGTTTCTATTGTGGGTACTTTGTGTTAAATGTTGATCGTTTTTTGGCTCACGTGTTTGTTTTGATGAATTTTTTTGTGTGTTGTGTTCCATCGTCACGTGTCAGTCTCAGAGAGAGCTCTTTATAGTGAAAATATAAAAACAAAAGACTTTAACAGATTTCAAATTGAAAATGTTTGTTTTTATCAGAATTTGAAGGAAACACACCTAAGCTCAATGAAACTATGAAGAATTTTCTCAAGAAATTGTTTTTATCAGCCATACGCGGCAATCAAAATAGCCATTGTAAAAGCCCGAGTCAACCGAAAAAAAATAAGCAAGCGAGGCCAAATTTTTCTTCGTCATCATGTTGCGTCAAATTGCTAGCCGGACACTCAACAAGAAGTACACTCGCGCCTTGTTGAATCAAATCATCATTCAATCTTCAAGAAGCGTTTCCACTGCCAATCTTCCTGACACTGATCCAGTTATTTATCATGATGACTTGATTACAACAGAAAATATTATGCGAAAGTTGGATGAACTCTTGGCCGACGGTGAAAGTAAAAACTACAAATCAAAACACGAAATGACACATGAAGAGTTTGAGGCTCAACTCAAAGAACAAATGAACAGACCTGTTTTTTACGATGAGGAATACATCAACTTTATCACCAAGACCTTGGACTTTTCCAAAGAGGAAGTAGAGGAAGTTGTCAAGGGACAAGAACCCAAATTCTACAAAAAATCTGATGATGGTGATTTGGAGGTTGATTGGATTGAGTTTGCTAGATTGTTCCAACGTACAGAAACTGAAAAAACCTTGCTTCCACAATTTGAAAGAGAATTCAAGGAGATGAAGCAATTCAAGTTGGAATTGGCTGAAGAGGCTCATATGCAACAAGTTACCATTGATTGGGCAGATTGGGAAAAGAGACTCGGACCTGGAACTGTTCAAAAGATCAAACGTGATATGGACAAGGTGATTGAGAAGACTCGTCCACGTATTGAAATCAAAACCATCCAAGACAAACTGGATGAATTGATGAAACCAGTTTTGGGACAAATGAAAGATGACATGGTTGATGCTCTTCCACTCATTAAGCAAGTAACAGACGAGTTGGTCCGTGAAACTCCACTCTTGAAGAAGGATGAAAACGGATTGTATCAACAATATTTGGCTCCATGGTTCATTGACAAGTACTATCCAGAAGAACGTGACCAATTGATCCAAGAAATTGAGGAAGATGAATACGATGTTGAATACATCAATGAACTCAAGGCAACCAGATTGAATCCTGATGAAATTTTGCTTCGTAACAAGGATTGGATTATCAAAGAATCTTCAAAGATCGAAGAAGAAGAATACAGATCCATGTCATCCAAGTCTGCCACCATGTCAGCCAAGAAGAGAGAAGAACAAAACTTGTATCATGGTGTCATTGACGGTGCTCGTCGTGTCAAGGAATTGGAATCTGAAGTTGCTTCATTGAGAGCTTCTTCTGAGAGTCAAGCTGAAGAGGCCAAGGAAGGAGCTGAGAAGAAGGAAGAGAAGCTTGCCATGTCTGAAGACGAATGGTGGGCATTCTTGGCAACATTTGGTGTTGATAAGAACGCCAAGCAAAAGCGGGACTTCTCTCACTTCAAGAGTGAACAACAATTGAAGGCTTGGGAGGAAGGCGGTGAAAAGGCAAGACTCGACGCCGAACAAACATTCTTCAAGACTGAAAGACTTGGTAAATAAGCATCTTGAATACTTTTGAACATTTTCCCTCCTCCTGTATATAACAGTTCTTTTCTTTTGTTGGTTCAATTTTAAACAAACCTTTAGGGTTGCATTAAAACGAAAATTTCTTAAAGTTCTTGTGACTTGGTGTTTGAACGAGGTTGCTTGAAAGTGAACAATGAGACTGTACGAAAAGTTCGATAAATACGTCGAACGTGTGTGAAAAACAGCATTTATCGTTGTTTTGTGGTTTCTCCTTCCATTGGATTGGATTCGGCTAGCTCCGCATCGTCTTGAATGTCAGTGTCATCACTTGTTTTAAAATTATTGCTCCATAATTCAAGCATCTTGGTGTGTGTTTGAATGGCATCCTTGTGTGCCTTGTATTCAAGCTTGGTTTGAGAAGGGAGATTCAACAAGTTCATGACATCTTGCTTCAATGTTTCTTGGATTTTTTCGTCATCTCCATTCTTATTCCAAATTGAAATAATGTCATGATTGTCTCGAATGGAAATTACAACTCCGTTAATATCATCATCATTTGCAAATTGTTGACCAATGAAAGATAAGAGTAAATCTTCCCAAATTCTAGCAGAATAGCCACTTTTACATCGAAGCATGAGTCTACCTCCGTTTTTGTTTTTTTCATCTTCCCACATTGGTTTAATCCCTTGTTTAAATAGATGATAATCCATCGATACTTTAAGCTCATATGGTCTTTTCATGTGAGTGTAGAGTGCCCAGAATTCTTCCACAGTTGAAAAATCTCCTACAGTTTTCATACAATCTTCATAATCAATACCCTTCTCCTTTCTAAAGTAGGAAAATGTAAATGTATGACCTAGTGGATGTTTATCCAATGGTTGATTTGATGAAGAAGAAGAGGATGAAGAATTATTATTGTATTGGTGCTGATGATGCATACTAGTTCCTCTCGACTCAAGGTTTGGAACGGATACAACAGCCGCAGTTTTATAACTTGTCGCTGCTACGACATTATAATTAATACTAGTAGTAGTGGTAGTTGGATTGGATCCGACGGGAGATGAGCCTGGTGGTAAAGAAGATGTAGTAGTTGCCGATGACGATGAAGAGGAGGATGGCGGTGAACCTGTTGGAGTTGAAGCACTGGTATTTGATTGAGTTTTCCTTCCGGTTCTTGGCTTATTCTGAACTGATTTCCAATCGTTCGTGTGATGATTGCTCATTTTCAAAATTGTTTTGATGCGGGTGGTAGTGTTGCGAGTTGATTTGTTGTTGTTGGATGATGACGAACACAATATTTTTTAATTTTTATTTCTTTTTTTTAAAAAATTCAAGCAACTAACACACACCCCTGAAAACAGACGACAACAAATGATCGAATTTCGATTTAAGGTATGTACGGTGGATATCAGACGCAATACAACATGTAACAATAAATGACCCTACGTAGGGTCTCCCATCAGTGAATGAACCAAGTATCCTCAATGATGTATGTGAGGCCGTTGAACGACATCCCCTGACATAGATTTTACCTTCAAGCAGACTTTTTGAGCCACGAAATTGAAAATGTTGAAATGGACTTAACGTTAGACCTTCCAACTCAATGTTCTAATCTCAGTGAGAAGAACCAAGAGGCTTCTGCATTTGGCAACGAGTTCGAGGTTTATATAATAATTTCAACATTAAGAATGCGCCTTAAAAACACTTACAGCTTAAAAAAATACTTTATCAAGCAAATTCTGAGGATGGACTCTTTAAAACCAACAACAACCACTCCAAACAATGTTTCAGATCCCAACAGCCAAAGCATTGTTGATAGAACCATTAAGGAGACTAGTAGTGTAAGGGAGGAAGACAATCATCAAAGCAGTGATGATCTAACTGATGAATTTAAAAGAGAGTTAGACTTAAAGAATCAACTCACTGATGCGTTAGAAATTGATCAGATAAACAACTTTGAAGAAGAGCTTAATCAGAAACAAAGAGATTTTGAACGTCAGCTCGAAGAGAAAAAAAACAATTTCATGAAGAAAATTAATCAAATCAAAACAGATTTCATCAATCAACTGAAAAAGCAAAGTGAAAACTCCACTCAACAGTTTGACAACAATATAAAGTGTCCAAATTGTGGGCATGTATTTTGTCCTTATGGAAGTGAAAGGAACAAGACAAAAGACCTCTTGTAATCATTTATTGAAATAAATTGCCACTCGTACCACCAGTTTACCAATGATCATACCACAACAAATTCTATCGACCCATGTCTTTGTTGTCATTTAAAGCACTCGTTCATGCACTAAATTATCCTCCTAAACTAATTATATGGATTAGGAGAGTTGTCTTCAAATAGGTCAGTCCTTTTCCTAGCATATATTGTCAAGTCCTAAAAAGGAATGCCCTTCACCCGACATTTTGACAGCGAGAGAAAAATATACAAACTCCAAACTTGTTTCACAACTCCATTCATCTCTCTCGTGTAATACAATCATTTTTCATGGAGAGACAGGAGCGAAGGGTATTCTTCAACCAACCAAATGAAACTTCTCTCCCCTTCAAGACCTGCTTTGAATCTCTCTAAGCTGACAATACTGCCTTCGAAGGAGGATAGGGAAAATACGACCTTAATATATATACCATCTAACAATCCGCATACACACATTCTCGTGTCTCTCCGTTGAATTGACAAAAGAGATAATTGCTGGCTTGATTCAAAAGCATTATAATATTAACCAATTAAAAAAAGAATCATTGCATCCTCATATATAAACTCTTCAATCATCACTCTCAACAAACAAATTGGTCACCAATTCCTCCTCCTCTTTCTCGACGTCGTCTTCGTCTTGAATCCATCTCGAACACACGTGAAGTGTCCACTCACAACAACAACAACAACAACATGAAAACAACAACAACAACCCATTCAACGCCTGCCTTTCTCAGATCGAATGCACGTTCCAATTCGTCCTTATCATCGAAAACATCCTTGTCTGGATCGCCACGATCGCCTCAAAATAATTCGAACATGTTTTTGACAACTCCCAAAACGAATTCGAGACATTCGACGCGTTCAGTTTCGTCGTCTTCAAGGTCCATGACTTGTTCTTCGGAGATGTCCTCTCCTCCTTCTCCTCCTCCGACAATTACATTGACTATTACTCCCAGTAGTAGTAGTGGTCCACAAGATTCATCATCCAACTCCTCCTCATCGATTAATTCAAAAAAAGATAAGAAAATTGAACAGCTGACAGCACTTCGAGAGATGAGAAGTAAATCCACCAATGAGCTGACCTCACAATTGGATCTCGTCAAGAATATGGTTCGAATTAAGGAAAAGAAAGGAGGACGAGTGAGTGTGAGTTTCAACTTTGATGATGACCAACCCTCTCCGACTTTACAAAAACTTTACAAAAAACAAGACAAGACATTTAATTTAACAAACATTTATTCCCCTCCACAAGATGAGGAAGACAATGAAGAAGACAATGGTGAAATCCATCATGAATCTTCTGAGGATCTTGTACAAGTTCTCGAATCCATTTGCATTGGTGAAGAAATCTTGGATGCTCATCATGATACCAATTCTGGTCGTCATCGAAACACCACAACAACAAATTCAACAACAAGTTGTTGTTATTATTCGAATCCATACGACGAAGATGAAGACGAGGATTCTTCCTCAGACGATGAAGAAGGTCATTCTCTTGAATGGAATGAATCAAGTTCTCATCAACGTCGAAAACACATGACCTTAACTCCAACAAGAACCACAAAACGAAAATATGCCTATTATTGTTGACCTAGAACTTGTTGGAAACTTGTTATTGCTTGATGTTTTAAATTCCATTTCAATTCAACCTGTAATTCAACCGTTCAATAGCTGTGTATAGGATCGTTTCTTGTTGATTGAAATTTATGATTATATAACCCTAAACTACATCCACTAGTTCCTTATAATTGACTAATAAATGAAATAGTTTGAGTATTCTGTCATGGCATTGTGATAAGTTGTCAAGGCCAACAACTTTTAAAACGATCAAACCATTTGTTCAGAACATTTTTCTAATCCCTTTTTGCTGCCCGCATATGGCCGAGTGGTTTTTCTGGAACTGTGGCAGCCAACTGGTCCAGCGTTCGAATCCCAGGGGTTGCTGCTGTTATCGTGAGCAGTTTAAACACCTTTACTTCCGGGGTGCCTGCTAGGAAGTCGCTACGTATCTTACGTTCGGCTTGTAAATAATGTACATATAAACTATCGAACAACGTTTATCATCGAATAAACCCATCCCTGAATTTTTCTAATCCCTTTTTGGGTTATTTTCAATTTAGAAAAAAAATGTCATTGAACGAAAAGAAGAGATTTAAAGTGGTTTTTGTTGGTATGTTGTTGGAGGTGGTAGTGACATTAAGTTCATTCATTGGATAAATCTTCTCATTGTTGTTTGTCTCATACGATCAATCACCATGTGATGATTTTTTTAAAAATTAAATCATTCAAAGGTGATTGTGCGGTCGGAAAGACTTGTCTTTTGATTTCATTCACTGGTAGGTGTTGTTGATGATTGTTATGATGATTTTCAAATGGTTGAACATGATGACACTTGGTATATTTCTATTTTTGGCTCTCATTTAAATAGAAAATGAATTTGATGGAGACCATGTCCCGACTGTTATTGACAATCGAATTCACACTGTTAAATACAAAGATGAAGATGTTATTTTGAATTTATGGGATACTGGTAGGTATTGCCATGGACGTTGGGATCTGGATTTGGAAATCCATCAACCATTTTGGGAAATTTAACATGACAATTTCAAAATGCATATCTTCTCATATTATTTCATTTGAATTCGAATGATATCAATATGCAACATGATGTATCTATGAATCACAACAATAACAGCTGGACAAGAAGGTTTGTGGTTTGTAACAATTCTTTTTTTCGTGTACGATCGAGTGAAAACCAAACACACACATTCAATGATGAACTATTTTTTGTGAATCAATTATTATGATTTTATTATTATTATTATTATATTCAACAATGCAATGATTTAATTCCAATATTAATGCTTTTCATATTTTCAATTTTCACAAATTAATCGATGATGACTTTTTCACAGATTTTGACAATTTAAGACTTTTGAGTTATCCAGAGACAGATATATTCATTGTTTGTTTTTCAGTGGTGTGTCCAGATAGTTTGAAAAATGTTAAACAATTGTGGATGAAAGAAATTTCTGAACATGGAAAAGCATTTTCTCAAACAGTTCCTTGCATTTTGGTTGGAACAAAAACAGATTTGAGAACAGATGAACGTACCTTGCATGATTTGAAAGAAATTGGACAAGAACCTGTCACTTTTGAACAAGCTCAACAATTTGCCAATGAAAATGGTTTTTATTTTTATAGGGAATGCAGTGCATTGAAGAGAGAGGGAATTGAGGAAGTGATTCAAAGTGCAATCGAGGCGAAAATTCAATTGATAACAAAAACAGGTCGAAGAACGATGGAATCAAGCAAGGAGGAATCCACTCCAAAAAGTGCAATTAACACAACAACATCTGATGAAGCAGTAGCAACACCTGTGACCAATGAAGAAACTCTAGATTTACCACGTTCTTCAACAGACCAACAACTTCAATCAGTGGACACAAGCACCACAAATGAAGTAAGGAACAAACCTTCTCATGAAAAAGCAGACACTCAACAGCAGGCAAACCTCATGTTGTATCCATGGTTGGTTCTCGTCTCCCTTATGAAATGTCAATGTGAAATTTTGTGAGTTGGCCGACACCACTCACACTAAAATGCACGAAATAATTCACGAAAAGCATAAATAATTTTATTTTCATCAAAAGAGGTACAATTTTAAGCTTCATACAACAGACCTAACATTTTGGAGGCCTTTTTCTCTAATGAGAGAAGATGGTGATTTCAGCAATTCCGTGAGTCCTTGAGTGGTGTGTCTTAAATTCACTCTACTTCTCTGGTCTTGTGATAAATTAGCCAATAAATGTCCAATAATTAACACAGCACAAGCACACACTGTGTGCCATTCGCTCTTATAGAAAACAACTAAATTCATGACCAAATCACTCACTCTTTCTGGGAATTCTCGAATCCAAGTCTTGGCGAAAATCTCTGCAAATTCATCAAAGTTGAGCGGGGTCATGGAAGGAAGTGGAGCATTTGGATCATCTTGATCGACAACCTTAAACGATTCATTTTCTTCAAAGATTTTAGTAAAAGCTTCACTCTTGAGAGTTGGAACCAATTGACTTAGAGCCAGTCGACAAGCATAACTCACTCGGTCCTCTGGATCATGAACGTGACAAAGTAAAATTGGTAAATTATTGAAAATAGTGGCAACAAGTGTCTCTCTCATTACTCCATCACAGAAACGATAAAGAGCTCCAAATAATTTGATAGAAGCTTCTCTAATTTGAGGATCTTTCTTCTCAAAGGATGGTTTCAATCGAACACATAAGTTCATTAAGAGCGGTGAAATATATTGATCCTCAGCAATCTTGAAAATTTTTTTCACACTTGTCATGGCTTCCAAAACAACTGCTTGATTCAAATCTTCCAAATTTGACAACAATGCTCCAATCACTGGTGTCACATATTGATGCAAAATATCTTTTGGATGAATCGAGAGATTGCTCAATCCACGTAATGCGTACAATTTTACAACAATTTGTTCATCAGTTCCGCTTCTTCCCAACAAGGCATTAATACAGTTATGAACTAGCTCACGATCATTTTGAATATGATTAAGAAGTACAGAAACAATACATGTTGCGATCACTCGTTGACCAATAAAGGTTCTACTAATGAATGGTTTCACATATTCAAACATTGGTCGAACATATTCTGTACCAGATTTGCAAATCCTTTCTAGAATGGATTGAACAGCATCTCCATATTGAGTTTTTTGTAAAAGCATTTCCAAAGTTGGAGCCTCAATTTCAGTTGGAGTTTGTTGGATAATTAATTCTCTACGTTCTTGAATGGTTGTTTTATGATCTTCATTCTCCTCGGAGCCATGATGACCATTTTGCTCCAATTCTTCCAATGCTTCTAATTTGGCATTTCGTCTAACTTCTTGAGTCAACTTGTAGAAATTAACAATGCATTGCTGAGCGAATTTTGTGGGTGGGTTTACAGTCATTTCGTTTGCACTTCCAACTCGAATGAGAGCAGTAACAATAATTTGAGAGTAATTCTTCATGGCCACACTTGAGAAATCTTCAACTGAAAGAATCTCATAGAGAGATTGAGTTGCTGAGACAGTGGTGTGCGTTGGAAACAAGTCAACGCTGTCTGATGCTCTCTTTTCTTCATAGAGTTGAGCATTGTTAATAATATCCAAGAGATGATCTAGTAATTGTTGATTTAGCATTGGATCAGTAGAAATAATTTGGAAGCACTTGGTTACTTCGATGGTGTGAGGTACTGGATAAGCAATGAGTGTATTCATCACTAATAATGGGAAATGTCTTGTGAAACCTCTAACACCATGTAAGAGTCCGCTCACAATTTGTTCTCTCTGTCCAGAAATAAATTGAGGAATTAATTTGATCATCTTTTTCACATAATTTACAGCCTCATGTTCAAGTTCCTTTCCTCTTGATCGGATGAGCCCATTCAAAACAATACATGAACTGTTTGCTCCATCCACTTCAGGATCATTCAATGTATCAATCAGAGTATCAATGAGATTCATTAAATGATTCTTATCTTTGATTGCTTCACAGAGTATTTGTGAAAGCTCCTTGGTGACTTCAAACAACTCCTTCACATTAGATGCTTCAAATAATTGGTTTCTGAGTGGAACAATGTTTTCAATATATTCTGGCAATTCATCATTTTGAGATTTGATATGCTCCAAAAAGTGTTGAATTCGCAATACGAGATAAATGCCATCCAAACCATATTTTCTAATGCCAGTGACCGATTCTGTAATACGAGGAATTAATTGACCAATAATTCTTCCCAAGCTTGTCATTGAGTTTCCAAACACATTATTGGTAGCAGATTGATCATATTGTGATATGAGCTTGGCAAAATCTTTCAACAACGAAACATAAATAGAGCATGCTCGCTCTCTTTCCAAAGCATTCGTAGAATTCATGTGATCGGTTTCCAAAGCTCTGAGAATATCATCCAATGATCCTTGGCTGTTGTCTGTGTGTAAAATTGCAAATAATACATTATTATGGCTTTCAATAATGGAGTCATCTGTAGAGACTAAATCATCGAGTCCAGTCACAGGTGGTTGTTTTGGATCGGTTTTCACAGTAGTCTTAATCTTGAGTAATGGTAAAATACTATTGAAAATTTCGTTTTGAATCTCCACTTCAACTTTTGGTGGCAATTTGACAAGTGTAGATAAGGCATCAAGACCCAAAATTCTAAGTTTGTTAATTGAGAGGAGTTGCTGAACGGTAGTGGCTTGTTGTAACAATTGGGGCGATGGTGTCATTATTTGAATGACAAGTTTTACCAATTCGTCACGTGATTTGAGAATGAAATCTTGCAATCTACTTGGATGGACAGACTTTCCAATTAAATCAATTGCCTTCAAACCATTTTCTTTCAATTCGTATGGAATTGGTTGTGGAGGTTGTGGCTTCAAAATCGGAATCATGTTCTTAATAATGTGAACTTCAACACGAGATGTAATCAAGGACAGTGGAGTTAACATGGAAACATATCCATAGGATAACATGGCAGTGGCTCTCTCAAAGTGTGTCACTTCATTACCAGTATTTCTGGCAAAGAATCCTGTCTTCTTTTCTGGAGCTTTCATTACGTTTTGTAATTGAGCGAGTACAGTGTCACAGTGGTTGACAGCTGCCTGGCCCAAACCACGAGCACAACCTAATCTTTCTTCATCATTGGTGTGATCTGTAATCTTGAAACATCTCTCAACTGCAGAATGAATAAATTGTTTCAATTGACTCTTTTGAATAATCAATCCAACAGTGGACAATAAAGATTTCTTCAAGAGTCTATTATTCTTGTAAAAAATTTCAGAGTGTTCTAACAAGGCCTCTCCCAATGCAACAGCCCACTTGTCATCCTGCACACTATCAATGCTGTCACGCACGAGATTCAATAAATGATTGTCCCATTCATCTTGAACGAATGAAGCATTGCTTTCACATGTGTCAATATACTTTTTCAGTGTTGGTAACTTCTTTCCCCATAATTGTACCACATCCGGGTGAATATTTGGCGATAAACAATACAAGGCACGCAAGATGTTGACCGCTGGTTGATTTCTGCCAAATGGAACAGTCAATTTGAGCAACAAACGAGCAAAGATGAAATTAGGTTTTGGAATGTTAACTTGTGCATCAAAATCAATGATAAAATCATCATCATTCTTCTTTCGTTTGCTAATATCAGCAATGGCTCGACACAAAACTGGGAAGGCCGTGTCATAGAGTGGCATGACAAATGATTCTAAAAGGAAAGGCCACAACACCTTATCCATTTCCTCTCCCAATTTTGTGGTAAAACTTAACAAGATGCGATCACAGGTTTCTCTCACTTGATACCAAGTGTAGACTTGTGGGAGAGTTTGTGGATCCAAACCTTCTTTCGAATTCGTCGAAGAACCGACCTGAGGAGATGATGGAGTACTATTGGAGGACTCTCTATTCTCATCACTCTGTTCAGAATTATTTTCCTCGTCTTCAGTATTGGCCTGAGAATTACTGAGAGTAGTACTTTTTTCATCAAAGATGATGGCATCTTCCTTTTCATTTCGGGTCATAATGGCTTGAGCAGCTTTTTCTTCACTACCAACAGTAGACACAAGAGAAGCTGGAATTTTGGTTTTCAAATCATCAGAAATTCTCTTTTCAGAAATGGCACAACCTCGCAAAATGACATGCACTAGATCGGTACCACCCTGTGAATTCATGTATCCATCGTGTTGAGCGAGTGTGTGAATTAAGACACTGAATTCGTTGTGAACTTCAACATTTTCTGCAATGATCATCATTTGATTGGATGGATCTTTGAGGATTTTCATCAAACCACTCACAATGACATCTCTGTATGAAACAAGGTCGTCGTCATTATTTAGAACCAAATATCTGAGAGTTTTCAAGGAGCTCACGTGAACAATGGCGCTTCCATTGGGTTGTTCCAATTGGGCCTGTACGAAAGAAACCACTTGATCTGTATAGGCCTTTGCAATGAAATGGAAAGTTCTCAAAACTTCAGTAATGTTTCTGTTTGCGTTCTTGTAGGATTGTCTTCTTGTCATTGTGGTAATTAAAACAGAAAATAATGTTCCGAGTATGGGTTGCAATTGATCGTTCAGTGATGTTGCACAATCCCGAACTACAACCTTAACAATGTGTTGAAGACCAATTGTGACTGGAAGAGGATCTTCCTTAACTTCCTTTTTCAATGAATTTACGTAATTTGGTATTAATTTTGGCAATAATTGATTGAGTTGGTCTGTCTCAATAATGTGACACATATAACCAATGGATTGTGCTGCTGCTAATCTAATTTTTGTTTCTCTCACATTCAACCATTCTAACAAAATATGTTTCATTGCCGTCAATATGGATGAATGATATTGTGAAATTGTGGACTTATCAATAGGATTCAACATTGCATTATTTTGTGAAGGTTTCTCGGATAATTCCAAACAATAAATTGCGGCTTCAGACCATCTTCCCAGCGCGGCACAAAATACCCATCTCAAATTATCATGTTTGATGAGAGCTAACAATGGTAAAGTTCTTGAAAGTACTTCCTTTAAATTACCAATAAATAATAAAGGATAATAAAATGCAATATCACTCAATGCTTTGATTACAAAGTAATGTGGTGGATTTGTACTACTAATTGGAAATCTCTCTAATAATTGTCCAGTTACTAGGTCAGGTACATAACGTGACAAGGCAATTAACAAGTTACAAGCACTTGCTTGCCAGTCTGAATTGATCGATTTATCTTGAACCATTTCATTAATTGCCATCAGCACAAGTGCACGAGAGAGGTCATCTGGAACTTTCAAAGGTTTATCTGCTGCTTTCACATTCGATGCACGAACAATTGCAAAATCATTGCTTGAAGGTTTCATATTCAATAATTCGGTGAGAATGTTCATGACGAGCACTCGATGTTTCTTGTTCGATTTGGAACAAATGTTATTCAAGAAATGAAGAGATTTGCTCAATAGTAATAATTCACACTGATCACCAATGCTTATTAATGATTGATGAATTGTTTTGTGAACTTTGATATCGGCGTCATCTAAAGCAATCAATAGTCCTTTCACAATGTCTAAAAAATTAATTCAAGTTAATTCATTAGAAATTACAGATATACAAAAAATCATTCAAAACAAAAAAAGCAGTGAATGGATGGTGATATTTTGTAATAGTATTGGTGATTTTGATGATTCAACGTGTTGGTCCGAAATTTGATTTTGTCGCCACATTGAAAGTTGTTGAAATTTCATCACATGATGACGTTACAATTTCATCAACCATCATTCATATAAAAAATTAATATATCAATGAAAACATACCATCAATATTTCTTCCGGTATCATAGGAAGGAGAGGAAAGCTGTTGAGAGTCTCCTGATGATGGAGAGTTCACGTTGGGACTGCTTCCACTTTTTCCACCTCCAAATCCAAAGAAGGACATTTTCTTCGAACGATCACTGATTTTCAAAATGATATCTCTCTGGAGATTGTTCTGAATGTTCTACCCAAGAACGATTTTGGCCTAAACAAGGATGTGGTGTTGGAAGCGCTTCCGAACACAGTGAAAAGATTTTTTTTTGTTGTGATATGAAGTTTCGCTGAATTGCAGACTTCGCAGTCTAAAACTGTGCTGAGAAAAAATTCAACTTGTGATTCAGCAAGCAGAATGGTGTGTGTGAGGAGAGAGACACTCTCTTGGAAAGGACCTCGAGTGGTGGCGTTGCGTTCGTGTGCCAAAAAATCCTTCAAATATACCTTTCTTACTTATGGATGCCTGTTGCTCATGTTATTTAGTTATTCGTTTTATTTGAGTTATGTGGTGCCGACCGTTGTGATTCATAGTGAGGCTATTGATTCCGATGCCGATGGAGTCATTGATGAAATTAGATATGATGATTTATTTATTAATTCAATTTCGTTTTCAAATGATACGTTCTATGATCCGCTGCATTTGGATGTTTTTAGAACATTTACTCTCCTCAAACAAAACAACACAAAATTTCATTTACCAGTTTTTGGATACATGTATTACAATACGGATCTAGAATTTTACTATCATCAATTGTTTCGATACAAAGATGTCAGTGATGATCATAGATATCTCTCTGAGTTTCATCATTTATTGCATTTGACATACAAGCTATATTTGAGAATGTTGTTCAAAATCATTCAATTAATATTCAATATTGAGTACACAATTTTCAAAGAGGTGGAACATTTCTTTCTCAGATTTTCAGCACCCAAGAAGCTTAAAATTTCACTAAGTATACCCATGTTGAATCATTCTCTGGTATTACACAGCGACGAGTATGGATATTTTTATCATGAAGTAGTTATGGATGCCCCCAACTACAAGGAGCTCGTTTGTGACAGGAATATGGATTGGATTGAGTACAGAGTACAAATTTTAGACCATGTAAAAACTGGCAACATTCTTTCCAATTGCGACACTTTCAAACGTGATGACGATACCAATGATGCACCGCTCTACTCAATTATTTCTGATATTGATGACAGTATCAAAATTACCAATGTCACAGGCGGTATTGCTGCCATGATGAAATCCACATTTAATCCATTCATCGCAGTTCCATGGATGAATGAATCCTATATCAAGTTTAAGGACACATACCACAATGCGAATTTTCATTATGTGAGCAGCAGCCCCTATGTACTCTATAACAAACTGGAGACTTTTATATTGAAAAATAATTTTCCAATTGGATCCTTTCATTTGCGTGTGTCCCACTTGGAAAATCGCTCATTTTTCACAATGCTTCGCTCAAGTAAGGTATCCAAACCTGTCACCATTCACGAAATTATGAAAAACTATAGTAGACGAAAATTTTTATTGGTGGGTGACAGTGCCGAAAATGACGCGGAAATTTATGCTCACTTTTATCATCAATATCCTCGAAATGTTGATCGAATATTAATTAGATGTGCCTCTCCAACATTGGAGGCCTGCATACAGAAAGTGCAAAAGACAATGGCTCTCTATCAAGTACCACCTCATGTCATGGACTCTTTCGCTACTGATAGCTCAGATATTTTGGAAAAAATCATCAAACAACAGCAAAATGCAAGAAATTGAACGAAAATGGTTGCGTGAATAATGAGTGAATGTATGTGAATAATTTATTTTGCAATAATTTGGTCAATTACGATTTGGATGTGTGTGGAAACTGAGCAGATACTTTATTTTGGTCCTTTCAATTCTGGTCTATGCAAACTCAAGAGGTTCGTTCGCGAAACTATGTGTAGTTTCAACTACAACATGAGATACTTGGCTTCCAACTTCTTCTTTAGCTCTATGGAATCGGCATGTTCTGGATAAATATCCTTCAAGACCTTTAGAGTCAATTCGTGGGCCACTTGATGATTACCCTTTTTGAATGCTAGCAAGGCATTGTTGAATACGGGTTCGTGTTGATTGGGAGCGAGTGCCATCGCTTGAGCAAAATAATTTTTGCTTTCCTCGGAGTTGCCCATTCTCAATTCTAAAACACCTAAATTATTGAAACTCTCCGAGTGTTCATTATCTATACTGGTTGCAATTTTGAAACATTGATAAGCGAGACCCACATCACCAATTCCAATAGCCACTTGACCAATATTGTACCAAACATCTGCTTCGTTGGTGTCATCAGCCAATTGCAGAGCTCGGTCAAAACATGAAAATACCATATCATACTGTGAAGCGTAAAAGCAACATAGAGCCAAATTATTCCAAAGCTCCGTATTGTTGACGCCCATTTGTATGAGTCTTCTGTACAATCTCATGGCCACTTCTGGCTGATCCTCATAGAAATAATTGCTAGCCAAGCAAGCTATACTTTCTACATTGCTGCTATTTAGTTGCAAAACTTTTTCATAGTATTGAATTGACTTGTCGAGATCGTTTAAGGAATCATGCACTCGGGCAATGCCCAACAGCAAGTGTGTATCATTTGAAAATTTCAAACATGCAGATTCATATTCCTCTAGGGCCTTATTGGGTTGATCAAGTTTAAGAAATACTTTTGCCAACTCTAAACATGTTGCAATCATCATTTGAGATTTGATAGCTGATCGAAATTGTTTTTCGGCGTCACGCAACAATCCAAGTTGATAATAGCACTTTCCTAAACGAGCTTTCCACCACCAATCCTTAAATTCGGCCTCAATAGTGGCAAATGAAGCCAATTCCAAAGCTCGTTTAACATCATGCTCCACAAATATTAAATAATCAAAGAGGGCTTTGGCAAGAGGAGGCATAGTAGCATATTTTTTCAAATCAATATGTTCTGTCGAGATGGCATAGTCTTGGTCAAGCCCAGAAATTTTCATGGAGGCTGTTCCCAATCGCACAAATCTTCCTGTTGATGTCACAGGACGTGTTGTCCCTGGACGTGAGCCTTTAAAGATATTTTCAATACTGGAGGTACCTCCTCTACTTTGGCCAGCGGCGCCCGTTCCTCCACAGCTCGAAGTTCCTCTTCCACTATTTGTTCCAGGTCGAGAGAAGCCAGTAATTGGTCGCCCATCTTTTGTTTGAGGCCTAATGCTGGGATTGGCACTTCTCTTCCCTGATGAATTTGTGAGAGGCCTCTTGAGCGAGGTACCTGGTCTTGGTGCTGTCGTGACAGAGGTCTCATCGAGCAAAATATCAGCAATTCCTTCGTCTTCCATTTCGGTGTCGTCAATCCACATTTTTGCAGTTAGGGACTTGCATTTGAGATACCACATGGACATATCTTTGTAATTCTTTCGGAGCAATTCATTGCAACTATCCACAGCATCATCAAATTTTCTCCTTCGATATTTGAGCACAGCCCTTAAAGCAGGATCTAATTGATAGGCCTGAAGGTTGCTTGAGCCCGAATTTGATCCCTCATAGTATGAAGACTGATCACCGTCCAAGTATTGTTGTTGTTGTTGTTGCTGTTGGTACTGTTCCGAACCTTCATCCATGGATGAAAACTCGGAGAATCTAGAAGGTCTTGCTCCTTCCTCGAATTGCATTATTTTTTTGTATGAATTTTGTAGTTGTAGACTCGTGGCGGGTTTAGGCAATGATGAAGGAAATTATACTATATTATCATGAATGATCTAATTCGGATTCGATAGAATGTAATGGAGTAACTTGACGTCCCTTACAACTCAATATTATATATAGCTAGCGGTCCATACGATTCAATCATTCCTTTGGATAGATAAAAATGAAAAAACTTCTCAATGCTGCATCATCCAAGTGTCATCACCTCTTCTGTTTTATCAAGCAACAACAACACTCACCAATAGTCACCCCAATAATAAGGAGCTACTCATCGGGATTTGTTGAAAATCCTCACACACAAGAGGAAGTCAATGGTTTAATTTATATTCCGAATTATCTCTCAGAGGACAAGGCCAACCAATTACTGGCACATCTCGATTCTCACTCATGGTTCGATTCATTAATTTCTCGGAGAATACAGTGCTACGGTATTCACTATTATTTCACCAAATTATTCCATCCTGGTCTACAGCCCATGAGAAGAAGTAATTTACCTCTTCAAGAACTTGAATTTGTTACCAAAGATATCGAGCGAGATTTTAGTAGTATCGGAATTAGATTTATGAAGGATGAAGAAATTGTAGGACTTCCCGACTATTATGAACGATACAACTCGACAACATCTCTCAGCATGTCATTGAGCTCATCAGAATTGTCATCTCGTCATTCCACCATTATTCCAAGTCTTGATGATGACACTACTATTCACCAAGTTACTCATGAAGACGACAGAATTAATCAATGCCTCGTTCAAGAGTACTATCATCACACCATTGCAAAACATGTAGACAACACAAATGTATTTGGTAAAGAAATTGTGGGTCTTTTCTCTCGTGAATGCTTGTGAAATGGATTTTGAACATGCAGAAAATCCCGAAATTAACTTTAAGCTCTTAGTAGAGCCAAATTCCTTACTTATCATGACGAAAGATTCTCGGTTTCAATGGAAACATGGTATTAAGCGAAAGAAACATCACCCGAGAAGAATTTCCTTGACATTTCGTCATTTGCTGTATTCTCCTGAAACGACGAGAGTGGAGTGATTGTTTGTGAAAAAGAAAGACACATACCATTCAATTTAGGTTTGACCAAATCATATCTTTGATGGTTTTGAAAGTCAACTTTGATTTGGCTCCAATGTTCCGAAATGATGAACTGGTATATACCCATCATCTCATGAGGATGTCATGGAGATCTAACGTCGCCAACACCTTGATTGACCAATTTTTGCAGACCAAGTCGATTCTCCATGATGCGTTTGTGTTTGTGAGAATTTACCCCATCGTTCCTGCACATCACCAAGTTGTAATTCTTCTTCATTACCGGCTCAATAGCCTTCCGAGAGAATCTCAGAAATCGTAGATTCAACGCTCTTGCTCCATATGCCAAGCACCTTCAACTGTCGTCTTTATTTAAAATTTAACACAAAATAAAATGTCAGAGGAAGGCTCATCAGCATATCATCACTTTGCCCAATCTTCCGCTGCGACTTCTCATCTCAATAACAACTCCACCAACGCCAGCATTGAAGTAGATGCTGATTTTATAACGGCAGATGATTTTGATGACCTATTGGATTCCAATGGTGGCGCTCATTCTCTTCTACTTGGCTCTCAACACTCACAACATTACTCATCATTCCACCATTCACAACAACCACAACATCATCCACCACTACAACAAATGGCCCATACCAACAACAACCATCTCTCTCAACACACATCTTTTGATAACACAATTTTTGATTCAACCACAACCTCGTCGTCACCTCCTTCCTCCACACTTCTTTCACAACTCCATTATATGAACCAACAACAGCAACAGCAACAACAACAACAACCATTGAACATCATGATGAGTGATAACAATCACCTTGAGCCAACCACCTTACTTTTGGACAGTAGTGAAATGATGTCCAATCATCTTCAACAACAACCACCACAGTTGAACACACCATCGTATGATGTGATGAGCATGTTGTCAGGCAGCATCACTCGTCCTCTTCGTCATCACGCACCGACCAACGCCACAGACACCACTACCAACACCGTATTTGCCGGTCCGCAGTTATCCTCCTTTAACTTGACAGCAGCAGTTCAGCAACAACCAACCCAATCAACAACAACATCTTCTCAACAACAACAACAATCATCATCTCTCACAGACGAACTCTTCTACAAAGAAATAGATCAAGCATTGAGTGATTATGACTCCTCTCTTGGACTCAAAGTCCTTCATGATGTTTCATCATCCTCTGCGCTCAATATCTTATCATCATCATCGGCACACCAGCAACAATCCTATCATCCTCATCATCAGGACTTGCTTTTGAGCAACATGATGTTGAATGAAGCAGCAACCTCCTCCTCCTCCTCCATTCTGAACAACAACTCCACAGTTGACCTGACTGGAGGTGGTACGAATAACAGCAGTAATAATAATCCATCATCAATGGTCGTTCCGATCAAAGCTAATACACCAACCCTCACAACCAACAACACCAATAACATCACCACCACGAATTCAACTCTCTCAGTCGGACCATTAGGACATCAAGTGATTGGAGGTGCTCCTCCACCACCAACACCACAAAACATTCAAGAGTTGCTTCAACAACAACAACAACATCTTTCTTTCCAACTTCAACAACAATCACAGCAAGGAGGAGGAAATGAGAGCTCATCCACGATGGCCTCGCAACTCATGATGATAGGAGGAGCAGCAGGAAATCATCACTATGTGAGTCCTTCCCCAAACATGAGTGGTAGTATTGTTGCTAATAGCTCTGGAATGATGTTTTCTCCTCAACAACAACAACAGCAACAAGCATCATTCTTGATCCAACAAGCCTTCTCTCAGCAGCAACCTGTGGTGTTCCATCATCACCATCAGCAACCCAGTACTCCATCGTCGAATGCACCAGTGGTAGGTACTTCTCAGGCTGTTGCTGGCAATGGATTTGTGTTTCAGACACAATTTCCCTTTCAACAACAACCACCACCACAACAACAACAAACCTTTGGTGGAATTATTCCATTCATGACCACTTCCTCTCCTAATTTCAATAGTAATAGCAATAGTAACAATAACATGATGATGGTTTCTTCTCCAAGCTCACCATTGCCAACATTGCAAACAATGATTGTCAATCCATTCCAGACTCAGCATCAACAACAAGCTCAGCAATCATTCCCGATCAAATCTGTTGAGAACATCAAGATGGAGAGTGATCGAAGAAAGAAACGTTCCAATAGTACCAATTCTGTGATGAGTATTGATTCTACCTCATCATCCATTAATTTACAAAAGCACATTCATGTGAGAAGTCATTCCAATCACTCGAATTCGAACTTGGCGTTGCATTCTAACAACAATAGCTCGGGTAATAACATGACACCACAATCACCTCTCGTATTGAACGGTTCCAATATGGGTAGTAATAGTAGTAATAGTGGTAATCATAGAGCAATATATTCGGAACCTTCCTCTCCCGTCATGGTGATGATGGGTAGCAGCCCCATTACGATTCACAACAACAACAACCAAAACATGATGATGTCCCCTTCACCAACTTGCAGTCCTACCTTAAGTTCATCATTACCAAACAGCAACATGACATCATCTCATTCAAGAAGAAGTCGTTCCGGATCCATGAGTAGTGGAGGCTCTCACAAACCCTCTGCAGTTCCCAAGAGAACCAGCAGTTTACAATTTCATTCGTTTTTCTGTGATGAAGAGGGTAATGTGAAGCAGCAAACCTCATCAACAACAGGAACAACAACAACGACGACCACTTCTTCCTCTCCTCCAACTCTTAACACTACAAGCGCTTCTGCTCAATCTTCTGCAGGAAACTCTTCTTCGCCTAACATGATGATGGGTGTTTCTCTCCAACTATTGCCAAATTGAATCAAATTGAAAACAGAAAGAAGAGAAGTCAAAGTGATGGAAATTTGCAACTATTTGAGCAGAAACAATCCAAGAAAAAGTCTTCTGGACTCAACTCTCCTCAATCATCAACCATGTTTGAAACGTCCAATTTAGAAGTTGGAGGTAGTGCTAGTGGTGCATCTTCTAACTCTCCAGGAGGAGGAGGTACTCAATTCACATTTGTTGATAATTCTAGTCCTAATTTATCCCTTCAACAACAACAGGTACTATTCAGTAAGAAGAATTACATGCCTACCTATGTACTAAGGCACAATATTTATGACGAGTTCAAGTTCAAATCCAAGAATCCCAATCAAAAGTATTACAAATTCTTTGCCAACCAATAGTTGCGTTTGGGTTGGCCATTTGTAAATAGCGAAATGCAACCTTTTTTATAAGAACTGCCAGATGCCAATCACCTAATTTTTTCATCGTAGTTGGTTGATTGCAGAGAGTGTATGATTATCTTGCGTAATTTTAGTAAATGATTATTTGTAACAAACCAACAGTGGGGAACAATCATCATGTGTGCCTTAATATGCTTCTTTAGATGTTCAAATTTTTTCATTCCATTCATGCAATTCCCCTTCTAATTGGACTACCTTCAACAAGGAACTCAATCTGCAGTAACCATCCCTTCTTCATATTTGGTTTTTATCAAAATTCGGAAGATGTTTCACTCCATAAATCAAGGAAATACTCTTGAACAAGTAATTGCGCGTTAATTGAGTTGATGAAAATCGTCACAAACGATCTCTTCGAAAACTCATCATAAAAACAAAAACACCATCAAATTTGGTTTCCACTCACAACCATCATGGTCCTTTCGACGGTTGTTTTGGTCATTTTGGCCATTCTTTTGCCACCAGTACCAGTGGCCATTAAAACAGGATGCTCTTTACATTTGGTCATTAATATATTGCTCATGATCTTTACGGTGTACATTGGAGCCTTAATTCATGCGATTTATGTCATTTTCGCAGTACCAGGTCCTTAAACCATGAAAATGTGAGATCGTCCTTCCTTTAGAATTTACAAACGTTTATTTTGATGCTTCAAATAAAACGACGTTGTAAAAAGTGTTGTTGTTGAAACAGAACGAATCATTCCGATGAGAAGACAGGATTTCCTCGAAGATATTTATACCAAATAAAAAAAATTAAAAAA